GAAAGCGAACAGGCTCTAAAAGAGCTGAAACGGTTTCTATCAAGCCCTCCATTACTATCGAAACCGGAGGAAGGCGAACAGTCGCTAATATACTTAGCGGTATCGGAGGTAGCAGTAAGTGTCGTTCTAGTACAGGAAGACGAATGTACGCAATCTCTAACTATTATGTTAGCAAAATTTTATCGAGGACATAAACTCATAATCCCCACCTCGAAAAACTGGCCCTAGCTCTCGTGGTCGCCGCTCGAAAGCTTACGCCTTATTTTCAACGCCACCCGATAGCCGTGGTGACAACTTTTCTGTTACACCCCATGTTTCCGTATGTAAGAGTACGTCGTAAGTCAATTGATGTAAGCTCAGAAATGAGATTATATTTGAAAGTACATAAAGTAAGTTAATCATGTTACCTTGGAGGTTACAAATATTTAAAATCATGGATAACAAGTACCAGGAGGGTTGGAAGGCTTACAAGCTAAACGAATCGAAGAAAATAAATTTCGTCGAAAGTCGACAAGTTGGGAATATTGTAACATATACTTTTGGGGTGAGATTAGGGTGATCAACATGATAAGAAGGTTATTTTATGAGCTATTTTAGTCGTATGATAGTCGTGTGTTACGTTTTCAAGTCAAGCGAGTTGTGGAACAAAATTTGGGAAAGGTCATCACAAGTTACATTCATAAATGTGCTTAAAAATTAGGTCAAATATAGCTGTACTTTTCTCCCAATATACTTATAATTACGGGATGATCCATATATCAAATTTAAGAACTACGAGTCTAGTTTCCAACGCATTAAACCTTTCATTGATACGACGTCAGAGTAAAGAGATATTCGCATTTTTGCGAAACTGCGCAAGCAGCTCCCTATGGGGCCCACTTAGGCAGTCGAGATATGTTGATATATATATATATGTGACGCCTTGATGGTAGGATAGAATCCCGTATTTTAGTCATAGTTTGCACTCAAATTACTGCATTTTACTTGTGTTTGAGTTTAAATGTTAGTGAATTGCACTTATTGTGTGTTTTATGCCTTGCAGGAGGTGATTCCGAGTTAAAAAGATAATCAGAAGCTAAATCGAACAAGTTGGAGCTTTGAAGTCTGAGTAAAAGCCCAACGGATTAAACCGGGATCGCGTTCAGGGACCGGGAGCCAAGTCTAGATACGAAAATCGAAGAAAACAAGTTATTCTATAAAACTTGCACAACCGCGCTGCATAGGGCGGCACTGCAGTGCTTTTTGTGTTGTTGTCCGTCAGAAGTTGCTCTTTGAACTTTCCCACTAGCGCCCCGCATGGGACGGCGTGCGTGTGTGATTTTCTCAGAGTACTTTCGTGTTTCGCCTTGGAAAAGGTAGTTTCGCCCGGGCCCACTTCTACATGGTATAAATACACCAAAAAGGCATTTTTGAAGGGACTTTTGACCTTGGAAGCTTTGGGAGAGCAATGGAGGCTACAAGACACGGGATTTCATCATCTTTCCATCAGTTCAATAAGAGAGTTTGGATTGTAACGTTAGATTGATGCTTTCTTATTCGTTAACTCTTTTTCTGAGGACTTCCTCCATAATTATGAAGTAGTTTACCTTAGGGTTTGATGTAATTTGCTGACTTGGTTGTTGTTTATGGATTTAATTACTGCTTAATTGCTTGAATTTCGTGGAAGAGCTTTAACTCTACTTGTGATCTTATTCATTATCTTGTTTAATCGGAAAAGGAGCATAATATTGAAGATTGTTGCAACGCATGCCTTAATTTATTTTGGTATTTCTTTAATGTAATTGAAAGAGCTTTGTGATCTACCTCTTAAATTAAGATTGAGAAATATTCAAGAAAAGTTTCTCTTAAACCATTCTTACCAATAGATTCTTGCAAGTTTCACCGCACTTCACATTAGTTTATTTCAAAGATTTAGATTTAATCGAGAGAGGAGTTTGAATCGGAAGCATAAGCTAATCACCTATTAATTTCGTGAGAATTGATAGAACCTCAAGAGTAAAATATAAAAATATCAACCCCGTATTCCTCACATTAATAAGAACCCGACTTTGCTAACCTCTAGTTTGTTGCAGTCAATTGTCAATTGCTAAACTTTAGTAGTATTGTAGTACATAATCATTCTAATCAAGTTTTGACCTTTCTGAATAGCAGTTAGACCAGGAATTACTAGAGTATTATTTAAATTCAATCCCTGTGGAGACGATAGTCATACTATACTATCTTTGACTAGCGAGCATAAATTTCGTGTTGTGTTTTGCGCTCGTCAAATTTTAGCGCCGTTGTCGGGGATTGGCAATCAATAGTGTTCAAAGTAGTTTTTGGTGCTAATTTCAGGAACTTATTTTATTTTATTCTTCACAGTTTTCCTCTTCCGTGTGCAGGAAACAAATTGACTTATCTGGTGTATGACTCGATCTTCTTCAATGGAATTGAATCCATACAATCCAGAGGTAGAAAAGAGTCTGCGACAGTTGAGGAAAAAGAAGGAACTCACCGGAAAGTTATTGGGGAAAACCTTCAACCCAAGAACACATGGCTAATAACGGTGACGACGAAGTTGAGTTAGCTGCAAGAGAGGCAGCATATCATAGAGAAGAAGCTGCACCGATAGCAGTTGAGGCAGCCCGTAGAGCTGCTGATGAGTCCATCAACGATGATGGGGGTCGAAGATTCAATTTAAATCGACCCCTGGTTAAATACTAGTTCGAGAATGCGGTACCTAGGCCTGGTAGAGCATTCAGTGATTATGCAAGACCAGTCTAGAGTCAGGGACTATCTAGTGTCAGACATCCACTAGTAGCAGCGAATAATTTTGAGTTGAAGCAATGCTTGCTTCAAACTATCCAGAACAACTGTGTCTTCAGAGGCAAGGTGAATGAAGATCCTAACACTCACTTGATGGGTTTTGAGAAAATCATTAACACCTTCCAGTACAACGGAGTGTCAAAAGATGCAGTATACTTAAGGGAATTTCCCTTTTCACTGAAGGATGACGCGAAACACTAGCTTCGTAGCTTACCAACAGGGTCGATCAGGACATAGGAAGATATGACTAAAGAGTTTCTTTGACAAATACTTCTCAACTGCAAAAACAGTGAAATTCAGAAGGGAAATTCATAACTTCTGCCAGACGGACACTGAAATAGTTTTTGAGGCGTGGGAAATATTCAAGGAGATAGTGAGGAAGTGTCAGCATAATGGGATTGAAATTGTGGATTCAACTCCAGGATTTTTGGGATGGACTGACACCTCCCTCACGACGAACCCTGAGCACTGTAGTTAGAGGTCCTTTAATGAAGAAGACTCCTGAGAAGATTGTGGCAATTCTTGATGAGCTCTCTAAAGATACTAACCAGTGGCCTTAAGAGTAATGATAGAAGAAAATCAGTTGGGGTTCATCAAGTAGATTCCAACACATCAGTGCAAGCCTAGCTAGACGCCATGGCCAAAGAGATAAGGAAGTTGACCTTAGCCAAGGTCCAGAGCCAACCATCATTTGTTTGTGATTTATGTGGAATGGGTCATCCAACACATGAGTGTCAGGCCTTAGCAACTGATGAAGTGGTAAATGCTGTAGGAAGCTTTGACAGAGGCAACTACCAGAGTGGTAATAATTTTAACTATATGGGTTAGAGGCACCCAGGCTTTTCTTGGAGTTTACAAAGTGGTATGGTAGCAGAATAATTCGAGACCCTAGGGACAAGGAGCTCCAGGATTTCAAAATCAGTCGAGGCAGCAATACCAGCCTCCACATTCTAATCAGTCTAGCAAGGAAGATATAATTAAAGCTTTCATTATTAAAATAGATGAGAGATTTGAAACTCATAGTGCAGCCATTCAAAACTTAGAGAGGCAAGTGGGGCAGATTGCTAGTATGTTGTCCGAGAGGTTTCTAGGAACCCTCCTTGCGGATACCGAAAGGAATCCAAAGGAAACAATAAATGCAGCGTCGTTGAGGAATGAAAAGTATTGCAAGATTCGTTGGTAATAGAAAAGAATGAGTTGACAGAAATCAAGTTCAGAATAAAGTGAGGGCAGGGCAAGAGGATGATTTGAAGGAGAAGAACAGATCTGACGTTCTAACAGGAAGAAGAAAGACAAACAAAGCAGTAAAGATGAGATCGAAGAAAGTAAGTACATGCCTGCTCTACCCTTCCCCCAGAAGCAAAGAAGAGAAAAGTTGGACAAACAATTCGGGCGCTTTCTAGAAGTGCTCAAGAAGGTGCATGTGAATATACCTTTCATAGAGGTGCTTTCACAGATGCCAACTTATGACATTTTTTAAGGAGATATTGTCTAAGAAGGGGAAAGTGGAAGAGACATCGGTGGTCAAAACTTGAAGGAGATATTGTCCAAAATTTCACTCTTGAGGTCCAAGATATTGTCCAAGAAGCGGAAAGTGGAAGAGACATCGGTGGTCAAAAATTGAAGGAGATATTGTCCAAAATTTTACTCTTGAGGTCCACAGTAGGAAGAAACAGTAGGAACCATCACTGGTTTCTCAAAGGGTGAATTTCCTTTTACTTATCTTGGCTACCCAATCTTTTACACAAGAAGGAGGAAGAAGTATTACAATGATTTGATTCAGAAGGTGATGGTAAACTGCATTCTTGAAAAGGGAAGTTACTGTCCTATGGGGGAAAAGCTACACTAATCTCTAGTGTTCTGCAAAACATGCCTACATACACTTTCTGTCCTTGATCCACCTAACAATGTGCTTGAGCACTTACATAAAACATTTGCAAGGTTTTTCTGGAGCAATAAGGAAGAAGAGAGGAGTAGACATTGGACAAAATGGGACAACCTATATCTTCCTAAAGGAGGAAGGGGGGAGTAGGTTTTAGATCCTTGATTGATGTTTCTAAAGCCTTATTTGCTAAGTTGTGGTGGAGGTTTAGGACTTCCAAGTCCCTATGGTCAAACTATAGTGGAACAAATATTGTAAGAAAGAAATACCTACTGTATTTCAATTTAGGGGAGGCTCACATGTTTGGAGGAAAATGTTATCGGCAAGGGAAGAATTTGAGCATGAAATTTTGTGGGAAATGAATAGGGGGTCGACCAATGTGTGGCATGAGAATTGGACTGGCCTAGGGGCTTTATATCATGTTTCCCCTCCAGAGTTTCACATTGATGAAGAACTTCAAGAGGTGGCAGATTTGAGAGAGGGAGATGATTGGAATGTGCAGCTCTTGGAACAATCTTTTCCTATGGACATTGCAAACCACATTAGGCAAGAATTTCTATTTGAAGATAATGATGAATATTGGGACACACCTAAGTGGATGCCTACAGCTTCAGGGAGGTTCACAGTAAGTAGTGCATGGCAAATTGTGAGGCATAGAGCTCATGTTAATCCTGAATACAAGCTCTTATGGACTAAGGGGATGCCCTTCAAAATATCATTCTTTTTGTGAAAGCTATGGAAAGGCAAGGTTCCTACTGATTACATATGGAGAAGGAGTGGGCACATGGTGGTTTCAAAATATTGGTGCTGCATTCAACCTCATGAGGATTCCTTCCAACATCTTTTTCTAACAAGTCCAATTGCAGATAGCGTGTGGAGAACTTTTACGCAAGCAACAGGTATAGTAGAGAATCTTGTCCAAGTTCATCAAATTATAAAGGTGTGGTGGAATGTTGATTGCTGCCCAAAGCTCAAACCTTTGTTTCAAGCAGCTCCAGCAGTAATAATATGGGAGCTTTGGAAGAGGAGAAACACTATGAAATATGGAGGTGCAGCATCATGTAGTAGGATGATCCATGAAGTGAATAAGACATTGCATAATTTAGCAAGGGTAAGGTAGCCTTGGTTGAAATACATTCCATTGCTATGGCCAGACATGATCAGATTCTTTGAGGGGTATAAACCATATGTTGTAACCAAGAGAGTGGATTGGCAGTCACCCTATGATGGCTGGTTCAAATATAAACTGATAGTGCATCAAGGGGCAATCCAGGACCAAGTTTTTATGGCTTTTGTGTGAGGAATAGTGCAGGAGATTTGGTGTTTGCTAGGGCAGAACAGATTGAAGATACAACTAACATTGTGGTAGAATCTAAAGCAATTGTTGAAGGGCTATCATTTTGTGTTGAACAACATCTACATCCTCTAATTGTAGAGACTGATTCTCTAGTACTGAAGAGGATCATTGAAGGTGAATGGGATACACCACAGAATATTGGACAAGAGGTGAAAAGGATCAAAGGGATTAAGGAGAGTCACAATGTGATATTCCAGCATGTGCTGAGAGAGGGCAACACACTGGCAGACTTTTCAACTAACATAGATTTTTCTTTTGCAGGTATAGTAAGTTTTAGCTCATTTTCTAAATTGCCTGGTGCAGGGAGGAGATTACTCAATCGTGACAAGGACTATATCCCTAATCTTAGGGTGAGGGTAGCAAAGAGGAAGGCTCCGGATTAGTGATCATAGTTGCTCACATATGACTTGAGCTTGACATCTGTTCTATTGTGCATAATGTATGTATGGTGTTAGGTTATTTCTCAGTGGTATTAGCATGTTATCATGCTCATTCTGGGGGTGGTTTAACATTACACAGATTCATGGAGTCAAGTAGACATCTCATAGGGTCCAATATCATTTCAAATGATAAGATTTTTCTGCTAAGTGTTTTGTGGTGCTGCTACATTTGTTCACAGAAATATTAGGCTGCACATATGATCAGCCTCTTCGTTATGAATTGGTAGTGTTGAAATGTCAAATGGAGTATGTATATTCTCATAAAATGCTACACAAACGGATGCTTGAATATGCTCTTGTAATATTCAGTGTAGTGTCCTATCATAATCCAGTGGTATTAGTGTGTATGCATGCTCAATCTGGAGATTAGAATGCACTATACTATCCCTATAGTTCAAGCAATCAGTTATGTCTCTCTTCTACATTCATGAGCTTCTTCTACAGTCTCAAAGTTATAAGGAACACAAAGGTGAGGAGGCATTGCTACACATGGTTCTTTCAATAGATAGATTAGTTTTACTATTGTTAGCATTAACTAGTAGCAGCAGTCATTTTCTACATTTCTTTGGACACATTGTAAATTTGGACCCAGATTTTGGGATTATTATTTATATATTAGCCACTAGGCAGCCTGCATAGTGGTATATTTGCTTAAAAAAAGAGTAACCTGGAGTTGGGTAGCAGACCTCAGTAATAAACCGAAGTAAGAGCTATGGTATAGTATGACCTACCTAGATGCAGTAAAGCCATAAGGATAGATAATCGAGGCTATGAAACAAGATATAGCAATAGTCGTAAGTTCGACAAAGTACCAAGCAAAGAACTTCAGTACACCTATAGATGCCCAGAGGGACAGTTTGTTATAATTCTGTATATGTTCACAAAGTAAGGCCTAGAGATTGGCGAAAAATTGGAGGAAAAAGGAGAGAAGAGTTGCATAGGCGCACATACAAGGTCCGAGTCGTACATGCTGCATGACAGAAGGTAGCAACAATTATGAGATTGGAAGAATTCCGATCACAAGTCGTGGTGTGATATAGATGCCAGGGGGGGGGGAGGGGGGAGGGAACCTGGCCTTTGGAATTATTCACAAAACAATTGCCTAGATGGCATGGACAATATTAAAGTATTTGTAAGAGCTATAATTTAAGAGACAGATAAGAACATTCGAGGAGGAATGCTCCAAAGGGGGGAATGATGTTACATCCCATGTTTTCAGATGTAAGAGTACGTCGTAAGTCAATTGATGTAAGCTTAGAAATGAGATTATATTTGAAAGTACATAAAGTAAGTTAATCATGTTACCTTGGAGATTTCAAATATTTAAGATCATGAATAACAAGTACCAAGAGGTTTGGAAAGCTTAGAAGCTAACCGAATCAAAGATAATAAATTTCGTCGAAAGTCGACAAGTTGGGAATATTATAACATGTACTTTTGGGGTGAGAATAGGGTGCTCAACATGATAAGGAGGTTATGCTATGAGCTATTTTAGTCGTGTGTTACGTTTTGAAGTCAAGTGAGTTGTGGAATAAAAGTTGGGAAAGGTCATCACAAGTTACATTCATAAAAGTGATAAACATTAGGTCAAATGTAGCTGCACTTTTCTCTCAATATACTTAGAATTACGGGATGATCAACATATCAAATTTAAGATCTACGAGTCTAGTTTTCAATGTGTTAAACCGTTCTGGATACGGCGTCGGATTAGAGAGATATTTGCATTTTTGCGAGATTGCGCAAGCAGCTCCCTATGGGACCCACTTAGCACAAGCCACTGCCTTGATCCACTTGGCTACGATGCTGAAGTAACCCATGCCATTCTCCCAGGAAAAGGCGGTTGAGATATCTTGATATATATATATATATATATATATATCTGTGTGTGTGTGTGTGTGTGTGTGTGTGTGTGTGTGTGTGTGTGACGCCTAAAACCCATTTTAACTCATTTTTTTTCACTCTCTTCATACCCTTGACACCTAAAAACATTCTCTCAAAGGTATCTCATGATCCAACACCCGAACCAAAGGCAAACAACACAAATCAAGTGTCGGGAATCTCGTGGCGCTAGTGAGTTTCTTGTTCTTCTTGTGGTTGCTGATTTTAGTGTGGTTCCAGCTCGTGTGTGGTGTTGTTTAAAGTAGTTTAAGTTTTGTAAAATACGCTCCCAAGGTTTACATATCAATCCTAGGTTATTTCAAGACTTCCAAAGTGATTCTAGTGCCGAGAAACTCGAATTGATTGCTAGTTTTGCTTCCTTATTCTTGTGGTTGCGTTAGAAGGAAATTTCGTGGTGATGTAAGTTGAAATTGGAGTTGTTCCATCTGTTTGAAGGTAAGGTAACTCTTACTCTACATGTATTTGAGTTTATCCAAGTTATGGCTAAGTTGTTGAAGTTAGAACTTGTGTAATATCGATCGAAAGGCTTGTTAGTAATGTTGTTTATTGTTGGACTGTTTGGGAGGTGTTCTTGTAGCATTTTATGGCTGGAAAATTTATGGAATAAACTGAGTATATTGTGTTGTTGTTATCAACATTTTCCTGAATATAAATAAGAGGGGAAGGATTCAAAATATAGTGTTATTAGACATGAACCGAGCTTGCCGCTCGACGTGTTATTGTGCTGGTTGTATTCCATATAGCTACTGATTATTGTTTGGGTTGTTTGGTGACTTTTAGTAACTTATGGGATATAGTACAAACAAGGGAGGTGCTGTCCGTTTTCTTGTAGAATATCCGTTTCGAAATATGAGAGTTACAACGCTTATATGATGACGAAGAAGTCGATTTACTCATTGTAGACGTAAGAAGACCATAATCAGCTTGGCTGATGATTGGAGAGAAGATTGAAAAGGTATGTTAAGGCACTTCTATCTTTCTTTTGGCATGATCTAAAGTGAAATGAACATAAACGATACGTTATTTCATAACAGATCTACTCCTAGCAACTAAGGTTGTCCATGTTGTTCTTTCCTTATCAAGTTATTCTAAGCAAGCATATATGATTCTTGAATACTATTAAGATTCATATTGATGGTATGGATATACATAACGTTAATCGAGGGTGAAATGACCTTACTTCACTCCGAAAGATTTAGAACATCATTCCATAAGTCCAGCATTATATATATATATATATATATATATATATATATATATATATATATATATATTTTACTCTTATCGAGCAGCACTATAGTCGGCTGGGTACATCACCAATTGTGCAACCACTGATTATTTGGGTTTTACCGAGCTCCACGTGGCTGGGTACGAATCTACCGAGCCTTATGATGGCCAGGTACGTTTTTACCGAGTCCTCTTCGAGGTCGGGTACGATATGATGATGATGATGCCCACGGAGGCGTATGTTTTTAAAAGTATATGTATATATTTATGTATCGTGCATTCATGTCAGTCGCCCTCAGAGGCACTCAGATGTTACATGTTGTATCTTCTTTATCTCTCTTTACATTATTGTTCTTATTTATGCTTTCCTGCCTTACATACTCGGTACTTTATTCGTACTGACGTCCCTTTTGCTTGGGGACGCTGCGTTTCATGCCTGCAGGTCCCGATATACAGGTTGACAGTCCTCCTAATAGGCTATCAACTTAGCGGAAGGTGTTGGTGCACTCCACTTGCTCCGGAGTTGCCTATTTAGTCAGTATGCTTTGGACATGTATTGATTGGTATGGCGGGACCCTGTCCCAACCTTTATGATGTTTATGTACTCTTAGAGGCTTGTAGACAGATGTCATGTATATGGATACTTATATGGCCTTGTCGGCCTATGTTTTGAGTGTACAAATGATCATATCAGCCTTGTAGGCCCGTATGTGACATGTATAAGTTTGTATATCATGTTGGGTCATCATATGTTGAGTATTCCCTTATGTTTTATTCTAGATCTCATGACGGCCTTTCCGGCTCATTTACCTATGATAGTTTGATAAGAAATATACATTACGTTGGTACTCGATTGAGTAAGGCACCGGGTGCCTGTGGCGGCCCTTCGGTTTGGGTCGTGACATTTTCCCCTGCGTAATGTCCTTCACAAACCTAAGTTTTCAGGTCAACCGGCCAAATGGACAGTCGAAATGAGTGAATTTGACATCGAATATAAACCCAGGACAGCATCAAATCACAAGTTTTGGCCGACATCGTGGCCAATTTCAGCTTCGTGCTGCCGCCTTTGGCCACAAAGGAAGAGGTGGCGGTGTCGGAAATGACATCAGGAGTTTGGGCCTTGTTCACGGACAAAGCTTCGAACGTGAAAGGGTCCGAGCTTCGGATAGTCTTAATCACGACCTCGGGAGAAGCCCTGAGGTAGGCCATAAAAATTGTTCCCTTGGATAACAATAGAGCCGAGTATGAGGCTTTGATTAAAAGACTTGAACTGGTCCGGGGACTAGACTCCGAGGTCGTTGAAATCAAATGTAATTCCCAACTGGTGGTAAATCAAGTATATGGAATCTTCGACACCAAGGAGGAACGCATGCAACAATATGTGGTGAAATTTCTAACTCTGCTCGCAAGGTTTAGGGAATGGTCCATCACCCACATCCCAAGAGAAGAAAACCCGGAAGCAGATGCATTGGCCAATTTGGGCTTGTCCACGAAAATGAAGGGATGAGATTCCGGTACTGTCTACAGCTCACGTACTCGGTACTAGATGTGGACGGTTATTATGAAGTAAATACAACCAACCTGGTCTGGGAATGGAGGAATGAGATCATAGACTACCTTGAGCACGGTAAGTTTCCCAAAGACCCGAAGGCAACTGGGGCACTCTGCACCAAAGCAGCTCGTTACAACTTCTGGGGAGGACATCTATACAGAAGGTCGTTCCAATGCCCGTTGGCCGGATGCTTAGGAGCCTCCGAGGCTAATTACGTCATGAGAGAAATTCGCGAAGGAATTTGTGGAAATCATTCAGGTGCGGA